GACACAGTTTTGTAAGTTTTTGTAAGTTTTTTATTAATTAATTATTATTTTGATTGCAACAAAAAAAATGAATAATAATAATAATCAATACAACAAACGATACGGTTTTGTTTTAACCGATTGTTATAATAATAAGTTTAATAAAATTATTAAATATAATGATATGAATGATATAAATAATTGTGAAATTTTAAGTGAAAGTAATAACAATAATAATAATTCAGATAATAATTGTGAAATAAAACACACATTTAATGATAAAAAATTGATGAATCAATCAATTGATTATCAATTAAATAACAAACAAGTAATAAGTGGTAAAAGTATTGCAAACGGTTTTGTTGTCACCGATTGCTATAATAATAAGTTTAATAAAATTATTAAATTTAATGACTATTTAAATGAAAATTGTGAATACTTTAATAACAATTATAGCAATAATAATAATAATTTTAATAATACTATTGACAACAAATGTTTGCAAAATAATAGTAAATATACGGAACAATCAATTAATAGTAATAATAATAATTCAAATGATTGTGAAATGAGAGACACATTTGATAACAAAAAACTAATGAATGATAAAAGTGTTGAAAACTTTGTGACAAACATTGTATTCAATACACAATCAGTTAATTGTCATACTATTGGTAGTGATTATAGTGATTGCAATCCTAGACATACAAATCAAAATAATAAATGTCTTATAAGTGATTCTCCATTACATCTATTAATTCCCAATAAATTTATTTCAGAGAAAGACCATAAGCTTATTAATGATAAAAATTTAAAAGTAATTAAAACAAAATTTACTAAACGAGAAATACAATTATTAAGACAAAATTGGGATCAATATTGTGATGACTACGAGTGCGATGTTGAGATGAAATTACGTTTATTAGGATATTTTGCATATATAGGCAAATATACGAAAGAGGATCGCAAACAGTTTCAGGATTTTGTTAAGAGTACACAATTTTTGTTACGATTGGCTAACGGTTTGCCTAACCGTACGATCAAACATATCTATCATATGTCTAGGACTTCATTCAAGCCATTGAAAGGTATGAGTGAGATGTCGGTGGAGACTATCGATGAGATAAAACAATTGCATACATTGTATGGCAATAAGTGGAGCAAAATTGGCGAAAAGTTTTTGTGTACTCCGTATACGATAACTAGTTATTATCACCGATCGTTCAACAAAAATGGTGAACCATATCATAAGGGAAAGTGGAGTCCGGATGAAAATAAACGACTATTGGATGCAATGAGACGAGTGCTGAACACCGATGATCTCAAACAACATGTGTTCACCAAAAATATTCCGTACAATGAAATCAAAGAGTTGGCCGAAATTAATAGGAGTTCCACTCATGTGGCACTACATTGGTATCAACAGTTGCGTTGGTCTGTAGCACAATGGGATCAATTGGAGGATCAGTGGTCACACAAAGATACCGCACGACTTATATATTGTTTGTTTAAATATAGTTTTACTGACGAGTCGGACATCGATTGGGACATAATTAAGGAAAAGTTTGCAAACATTTCGTCGTTCAACGCATTGATGAGAAACTGGCGTTTAATCAAACAAACGGTTCCCTTATTTGAGCGCAAATCCTATAAACAGATCATTAATTTTCTTTGGGATAATTTTTTGCCACAATTTATCAAAGACAGTGATAAAGGTGTCGATGAATTGGCAGAGTTTGAAATGTTTTTTAAGTATTGATAAAAATTGTTTGATTGTTATAATAATTACTTAATTTTTGTTGTTTATATTACTGTTTTAATTAAAGACCGTATTTGTATATATTGTATATTTGATCACAATTATTGAAATTACAGTTATATACAATATATATATATAAATAAATTAATATTCAAATGTTTGGCATTTTTATGATATTTTAGACCAACTATACTGAAAAAAATGTTTTATTGTTATATTTAACTATTAATATTAAACGTGTTTTTTGTATTTATTATGTTTAGTGACAGACATATCGATGACATCACTGTTTGAATTTGAAAATCATTTCATACATTCACACATACATTACTTTTTATAATATTATAAAATGTATTTTTTCTAAATATTAATAGTTAAATAACTATTATTTTTTTGTAATTTATAATTTTAAAAAAATATATATTATATTTAATAATACTTAATTTATATTATTTATTTAGGAATATTTTTGTTTTATTTTATTTTATAAACTCTTCAATAAAAACTATTGTAAATATAAAAATTATGTTCATTTGTTACAATTGTTTCAAAATTGTGATGTCAATGGTTGTGATAAAATTTTTATTTAAAAAATCTAAATTTTTAAATCACAAAAACATTACATACATTTGGGTATTATATGCTATTTAAATGTAATGTTTAAATGAATGCAACAAAAAAAGTTATGCAACAAAACATGGACTTAATTATCAAAAAATAATTCAAACTCTTTTAAGCCGTCGTCGTCTGGATTGAGATATTGTGGCAAAAGATTGTCGTAAAGAAAATCAATGATTTGTTTATATGATTTGCTGTCAACTAAGGGAACCGTTTGTTTAATTAAACGCCAGTTTCTCATCAATGAATTAAACGACGAAATGTTTGCAAACTTTTCCTTAATTACATCCCAATCGATGGCCGACTCATCGGTAAAGTTATATCTAATCAAACAATATATGAGTCGTGCGGTATCTTTGTGTGTCCACTGGTCCTCCAATTGATCCCATTGTGCTATAAACCAACGCAAGTTAGTATACCATCGATTAGCTACATAATTTTTTAAAAATTTAATGTTAAAATTTATAGTTTATTTGATATTTAAAAAAAAATATTCAAAAAATTCTACATTTACAAAATAATAATAAAAACCAGTTGAGAATGCTAGAAAGCATTTCCATACGAACTCCTAATCCAAGTTAAAAATTAAATTAAAATCGAATGATTAAGTATGACATGGAGGTGGACTCCACATTGTGGAGTAACAAATCACTCAGTATCACAGAATAAACTCAACTTTAGTAACATGGAGTATCAAATGACTCAGTATGACAAAATAAACTCAACAATTCATATAGGTTATCTAATGACTGTATGCAAAAAATAAACAACCTTAGTAATGTGGAGTATCAAATGACTCAGTATAAAAAAAATAAACTACTGTAGCCATGTAGGGTATCAAATAACTCATTATGACAGAATAAACTAACTTTAGTCATGTGGGGTATCATATGATTCAGTATAAAAAAATAAACAACAATTCACATAGGGTATCAAATAACTAAATATGCAAAAAATAAATTCAACCTTAGTAATGTGGGGTATCAAATGACAGTAGGACAAAATAAACTCAAACAATTCATAGAGAGTATCAAATAACTAAAATATATTATTATTTTTACTATAAATATAACTTAAATTTAAAGAATATTAACTCAAGCTTTATTTTATCTATTTTATTTAAGATATAAAAATTTGTTTGCTAATTTCATATAACTTATTTTTAATGTTTAATTCCAATCCAAGTATTAAATATTAATTTTAAAATTTTTGTACTTTGGCCGCCATTTTATATACGTTCTTAGATATTAAATTTTTTATACTAATCAATATATCTTATTTTTGAAGCTTTATTCAAATTTATATTTATAATGTTTTCAATTTTTTGTACTGTAAACGTCATTTTCTCTTTGTTCCCGAAGAGATATAAAAATTTTAATGCTAATTCCTTTGCTAGTTTTTGATGCTTTATTCAAATCTATACTTAAAAATTTTTACCTAAATTTTTTTTAACTTTGGCCGCCATTTTCTCTATATTCTGATGAGATATCAAAATTTTAATGCTGATCCCCTATATCTTATTTTTGATGCTTAATCCAAATCTGAAATCAAAATTTCAAAATTCAATCAAATGCGGAAGGACAGACAGACAGACAGACAGACGGAAGGACATATAGAATTCAGTACGTACTCCTTTCAGGAGTTCGTGATTACTGTATTTTTCTATAACTATGTAAATATTAATACTAATAAATTAAAATTATATATTAATTATTGTCTATTTATAATTAGTAGGTAAAATAAATATTTATAAAAAATAAACTATAAAATCTAAATATTAAAGTAATTGTTAATTAATAATTTAAATAATATAAATTAAGGTATTATTAAATATAAAAGTATAATTTTATTTTAATAAAAAATTATAAATTACAGTAAAATAATAGTTATTTAATTATTAATATTTTTAAAAAAATACATTTTATAATATTATATAATTATAGACGTAATGTATGTGTGAATGTATTCAATGATTTTCAAATTCAAACAGTGATGTCATCGATATGTCTGTCAATACAATCAAAACACAAACAACACGTGAAACACAACAAACAATAATAAGACATTAATTCACACAGTTTTGTAAGTTTTTTATTTAGTTAATTATTATTTTGATTGCAACAAAAAAAAAACAATGAATATTAATAATAATCAATACAACAAACGATACGGTTTTGTTGTAACCGATTGTTATAATAATAAGTTTAATAAAGTTATAAAATATAATGATATGAATGATATAAATAATTGTGAAATTTTAAGTGAAAGTAATAACAATAATAATAATTCAGATAATAATTGTGAAATGAAACACACATTTGTCGATAAAAAATTAATGAATCAATCAATTGATTATCAATTAAATGATAAACAAGTAATAAGTGGTAAAAGTATTGCAAACGGTTTTGTTGTTACCGATTGTTATAATAATAAGTTTAATAAAATTATTAAATTTAATCACTCTTTAAGTGAAAATTGTGAAAACTTTAATAACAATTATAGCAATAATAATAATAATAATAATAATACTATTGACAACAAATGTTTGCAAAATAATAGTAAATATACGGAACAATCAATTAATAGTAATAATAATAATTTAAATGATTGTGAAATGATAGACACATTTGATAACAAAAAACTAATGAATGATAAAAGTATTGACAAAAACTTTGTGACAAAAACAACTTTAATTAATAAAAATAATATTGAATTCAATACACAATCAGCCAATGAGTATTATCACACTAGTAGTAGTAGTAGTGATTATAGTAATTGCAATACTAGTAACACTATTATTAGCAGTGATTACAATAGTAATAGTAATAATAATAATAGAGACAAAAATAGAAATATTGAAACACTATTAAGTGATTCGCCATTACATCGACTCATACCATATGCGAGAATGAATTCAAAAGATAAAAAGTTATTAATTGATAATAATTTGTTAGTAATTAACGGAAAGTTTAGTAAATATGAATTGGAAATATTGACAAAAAATTGGCAAAAATTTTGTGATGACTATGAATGCGATGAAGACATGAAAACACGTTTATTAGGATTTTTTGCTTTCAGCGATAGGTATAGCAAACCGGAAAGAAAAACGTTTCGCTATTTTATGAGAAGCTCACAGTTTTTGTTACGACTGGCCAATGGTTTGCCTAATCGTTCAATACATGAAATCTATTATACAGCCCGACGTAAGTTCAATACATTGAAACGGATTAGTCAGTTGTCAGATGCCGACAAAATTGATGTCAATCGGTTGCCATTAGTTTATGGGAGAAAATGGGCTAAAATTGCCGAAAAATATCAATGTAATCCTTCATCGTTGTCCACATATTATATAACATATTACGATTCAAATGGCGAACCGTATTATAGGGGAAAGTGGACACCGGATGAAGACCGGCGACTATTGGCTGCAATGAGACGAGTGCTGAATACCGATGATCTCAGACAACATATATTCACCAAAAATATTCCGTACAAACAGATCAGGGATTTGGCAGAAATCAATAGGAGTGAGATTATTGTCGCTAATCGATGGTATACTAACTTGCGTTGGTTTATAGCACAATGGGATCAATTGGAGGACCAGTGGACACACAAAGATAGCGCACGACTTGTTTATTGTTTGTTTAGATATAACTTTACCGACGAGTCGGACATCGATTGGGATGTAATTAAGGAAAAGTTTGCAAACATTTCGTCTTTCAACGCATTGATGAGAAACTGGCGTTTAATTAAACAAACGGTTCCCACATTTGAGTCGAAATCTTATAAACAAATCATTGATTTTCTTTACGATAATCTTTTGCCACAATATCTCAATCCAGACGACGACGGCTTAAAAGAGTTTGAAATATTTTTTGATAATTAAATCCAGGTTTTGTTGTATAACTTTTTTTCATTGTTGCATTCATTGACATTACATTTAAATAACATATAAGTTATACCAAAATGTGTGTATGTTTTTGTGATTTAAAAGTTTAGATTTTTAAAATAAAAATTTTGTCACAACCATTGACAACACATATGAATTGTTTTTGAAACAATTGTAACAAATGAACATAATTTTTACTATACAATAGTTTTTATTAAAGAGTTTATAAAATAAAATAAAACAAATAGATTGCTAAATAAATAATATAAATTAAGTATTATTAAATATAATATATAATTTTTTTTTAAATTATAAATTACAGAAAATAATAGTTATTTAAACTATTAATATTAAAAAATACATATTATATAATTATAAACTTAATGTATGTGTGAATGTATTCAATGATTTTCAATTTCAAACAGTGATGTCAACGATATGTTTGTCACTAAACATAATAAATACAACAACACGTGAAACACAACTAACAATAATAAGACATTAATTCACACAGTTTTGTAAGTTTTTTATTTAGTTTGACGTATGATTGCAACAACAAAAAAAACAATGAATAATAATAATCAATACAACAAATTTTACAATATTTATTAATATTATTTAATATCATAAAAATGCTAAACATTTGAATATTACGGTATTTGTATATATATAAAACTGTACAATATATACAAATAAGTTAAACAATAATTAAAACAGTAATATAAACATTAATAATTAAGTTATTATTATAACAATCAAACAATATTTTTCAATAATTAAAAAACATTTCAAACTCTGCCAATTCATCGACACCTTTAACTGTCTTTGATAAATTGTGGCAAAAAATTATCCCAAAGAAAATTAACAAACTTTTCCTTAATTATATCCCAATCGATGTCCGACTCATCAGTAAAACTATATTTAAACAAACAATATATAAGTCGTGCGGTGTCTCTCTGTGTCCAACTGTCCTCCAATTGATCCCATTGTGCTAATTGTCACCGAAGATTAGATTTCCATCGATTTTTCACACTATACACACTCCTATTCAATTCGGACGAATCCCTAAACTGTTTGAACGGCAATTGTTTGGTATAAATATGTTGTTTGAGATCATCGGTGTTCAGCACTCATATCATTGCATCAAACATTCGTCGGTCTTCATCCAGAGTCCACTTTCCCGTATCATATGGTTCGCCATTTTGGTCGTAATAGAAATCATAATGTGATTTCACTGATATTTTTCGGCAATTTTAGCCCATTTTCTACCGTATAGTCGACGCAATTGTAGGATATTATCTATTTCCTCATCTGACAGCTCAGTCATACTTTTCAATGTATTGAACTTATTTCTTGCGTTGTTATAAATCTGGACAATCGTACGGTTAGGCAAACCGTTGGCCAATCGCAACAAAAACTGTGAGCTTCTCATAAAATAACGAAACGATTTCCTCTCCTGTTTAGTATAGTTATTGCTGAACGAAAAAAATCCTAATAAACGTGTTTTCATATTTTCATTGCATTGATAGTCATCACAAAACTGTTGCCAATTTTGTGTCAATATTTTCGTTTCATTTTTACTTAACTTTGTGTTAATTACTATTAAATTGTTGTCTTTAATAATTTGATTTTCTTTTGGTCCGATAAAAGTATAGGGAATTAATACATGTAATGGAGAATCACTAACAAAACATTTATTATCATTATTATTATTAGTATTGCAATTACTATAATCACTAGTACTACTAGTGTGATAATACTCATTGGCTGATTGTGTATTGAATTCAATACTAGTTTTATTAATTATATTTGTTTTTGTCACAAAGTTTTCAACATTTTTATCATTCATTACTTTATTGTTATCAAATGTGTCTCTCATTACACAATCATTTGAATTATTATTATTAGTATTAATTGATTGTTCCGTATATTTACTATTACTTTGCAAACATTTGTTGTCAATAGTATTATTATTATTACAATTGTTATTAAACTTTTCATAACTTTCACTTAATGAGTGATTAAATTTAATAATTTTATTAAACTTATTATTATAGCAATCGGTGACAACAAAACCGTTTGCAATACTTTTACCACTTATTACTTGTTTATCATTTAATTGATAATCAATTGATTGATTCATCAATTTTTTATCATCAAATGTGTGTTTCATTTCACAATTATTATAAATATTATTATTCATTTCATTCATGTCATTATATTTTATAACTTTATTAAACTTATTATTATAACAATCGGTTACAACAAAACCGTATCGTTTGTTGTATTGATTATTATTATTATTCATTGTTTTGTTGCAATCAAAATAATAATTAACTAAAAAAACAACAAAAACTTACAAAACTGTGTCTTAAATATCGCTATAATTATTGTTAATTAGTTGTGTTTCACGTGTTGTTGTGTTTTGTTTATATGTATTAAATAATTTACAGACACTTATCGATGACATCACTGTTTGTTTGAATTTGAAAATCATTGAATACATTCACACATACATTACGTCTATCATAATGCCTTATATCAGTATTTATTGATATTAATTTTGTTTATTATGCAAATAATTGTAAACTTAATAATACTGATAAGGTTTACTGGTACTAGTACATATGAATATTGTAAATGTAAATTTGCACTTAAAAAATACTGTACTAATACTATATAGTTTTTTTTAGTAATACTGAATAATACTTTTGTGTTATAATTATTACATTTTATATACAATTGTTTAATACTATTAGTTGTTGTAATAATACTAATTGTTATTAATACTGATATAAATAATATTTATATAATATTGTTAAGTAGTGGTTAGTGTGTTGCAGTTTAATACTTTTTTAATATTGTTTTAATAATACTTTTCAATTGCAAATAATAAGTAGTGATATACTAAGGCCTAATACTGAATCTAATACTAAGGTAAATACTGATTGTTACTATTGCAATAGTGGGTCAAACAATAGTGAGGCAAACAACTATTAAACTATTAAAATTGTTTTTTATTGAAAGTTTATCCTTAAATAAAATAACACATTTAATAAGTTAGAATAAACAAAAATTTCTAATTAATAAAAACTATTGTATAAACAATATAATTTTTGTTGCATTTAAATAATTTTATATTATTTATATTGAAGCCAAGGTTGTATTTACTAATTATATTGTAATGAATTTTTGTTTTATTTTTCTCTGAAAAATTATTGCAAAAATTATCCTTTTTTGTTTGTTAAAAATTTATAAAAGCACTAAAATGTTATACCGAAAAACTAAAGGTAAACACCTTGTTTTTAACAGAGTTTTATTTTGTTTTTATTCAATATTGCAGTGTTAAAATAATGCACTGAAATGTTATATAAAAAAGTGAATAGTAAACTCCTAGTTTTAATAGTGATTAAAACCTGACTCAATGTGACACACTTTTTCCTCACGTACACTTTAGTATAAATAGAGGTGTCTCTCAAACACCAAAATCAGTTCTCCACTTGGAGTCATACTACGTGTATTGCTTTAAAGTGAATTAATAAAAGTATTTGCATATTACTTTGTGTGTGTTTACTTTCTCGACGCGGACCAATCGTTGGACATCTTAAGGGACGCCTTCAGAATACATCCATAACCACGCGGACGTTAAACAACTATTACGTAAGTAAATATTTTTATTATGAGAACTCCGGCACCGTACCGTATACGGGGGCGTCTCACACCCGAACTCTTATTGGAACCTACGGGTGAACCTACGGGTGAACCTACGGGTGAACCTACGGGAGAACCTACGGGTGAACCTACGGGTGAACTTACGGGTGAACCTACGGGTGAACTTACGGGTGAACCTACGGGTGAACCTACGGGTGAACCTACGGGTGAACCTACGGGTAAACCTACGGGTGAACCTACGGGTGAACCTACGGGTGAACCTACGGGTGAACCTACGGGTGAACCTACGGGTGAACCTACGGGTGAACCTACAGGTGAACCTACGAGAGTACCTACAGGTGAACCTACGAGAGTACCTACAGGTGAACCTACGAGAGTACCTACAGGTGAACCTACGAGAGTACCTACAGGTGAACCTACGAGAGTACCTACAGGTGAACCTACGAGAGTACCTACAGGTGAACCTACGAGAGTACCTACAGGTGAACCTACGAGAGTACCTACAGGTGAACCTACGAGAGTACCTACAGGTGAACCTACGAGAGTACCTACAGGTGAACCTACGAGAGTACTTACAGGTGAACCTACGAGAGTACCTACAGGTGAACCTACGAGAGTACCTACAGGTGAACCTACGAGAGAAACCAAACTAACGACATGACAGAGGCACTGAGGTATGCAATACTTTAGGATAACATACCTACAAGGTAACCTACCTATATTGTAATCTGATTATAAGGAACCTACTCATATAGTAAACTATCTATAATGTAACCTGCTTATACGGTAACCTATCTATAAGGTAATCTAACTGCACGGTAACCTATCTATAGTTGTCTGCCGAAATGGTAGTCCATCTATAAGATAACCTACCTGTATGTTTACCTACCTATAAGATAACCTACCTATACGGCAACCTACGTATATGATAACCTACTTATGGGTTAACTCCTATAAAGCAACCTACGTATATGGTAATCTATCTATAAGGTATCCTATCCTGAAGGTAATTGCATACCCGATGACATGTCCGTTGTCAACTATAAACATGAACACGGTTACTCCCGTATAGTAGGAGTTACCCGACTATGTCGGGGAACAAGGGGATCCGCTCGCCCCTTAAGCCACACACCACGAAACCGACCGGGTTGAGAGCCCAACCGTAAGGGCCGGTGGTATATTACCGAGTGTTTTGGTTTACATAAGTTAGTTTAGCTTAGTCCTAAATGTCTGTAATACCCCACTTCCCCTACATTTGGTGAGCAACGATGAGGGATCAAATGATACCCGACTGGCGCTGAGTCCGAGCCGAATGGCTTTGGGCG